CAAAGTACTCTTCTGGATATGTTGTCTGTTGCTCATCAGCATAATGGCCTTTACCTCGTCTCTTTCCTTTTCCTTTTCCACGAGGTCTGAAGAATCTGCGGCCTGATCTTCCTTTACCTTTTCCTTTTCTTCTTCCTTTTCCTTTGCCTTTTCTGGCTCTTCTTCCTTGGAATCTCCTTTGGAACCACGAGAAGTTTTGATCATCATATACCCAAAAGACATCGTCCAGGGCATCTAAAAATCCTTCAGTTCCATCTTCTTCATCTTCGGCCCAATAGCCAAATGTACCATCGAGTTCTCCTTCGTCTAGTACAAGAAATGATCTTCTACCTCCAGCACCTGTCGGCTGCATCAAAGGATTGTCTACTGAAGTCTTTGTCGTGCAGAACATCTCGATGAACACTGTCCTCAACTCTGTTGTAGTGTACTGCTGCAGGACCCTTCCACGATGAGTCATCAACGAAATCAAAGTGTTTCGCTGGTCCTGAGACAAATCTGCAAGTGACAGCATGAGTAAGGCAATGAGATTTTCTCCTAGAGGAAATTCGTTCTGATGAAAAGTCCTCATATTGCCATTGATGGTCTGCATGATTTCCTGAATCCTTTCTGCCGTTGGTGCTACTCCAGTCAACGCTGCATCTGCCTGCATCTGAGCTAGGACTTGTGGATGTGCTTGAGTGACTGGTTCTAACATGTCCATCCAACTGCTCATAAGCCTTTGGAGTAAAATCTGGAATCTTGTCATCCATTTCATCATGTCAGCTGATCCTCGATTGAAGCGCACGAATTGCATGAACCTATACAGGAATACATTGGTTGATCCTTTCACAAAATATGGTCGTAGTACTCGTTTGAAATATTCTACGCCTGCTCCTGGTGGATCATTTGCCTTCAATGCATCTCTGTCTAAAACACGCTTGTATACAGCTGCTTCTCCTTCTAATCTGTTTCTCAATGCTGGTCCTCTCTTCTCATCTTCCAGCTCGGTGATATCACACCAATCGTCTATGGCATCCTCATAGGAAAACCATGAAGTCTTTCCATCATAAGATGGGGGCACTTTTGTAGTGACCTGTGTTGTCATTGCTATTGCTGCTGGTTCTCTTCTCACATGCCTATTCACGTAGGCTGCTGGCTCATAAGCCACATCCGCATCAGGCTCTTCCCAGTCGTCAATCCAATCCATGGCCGTTTGCCCACAAGCAATTCTATGCCTAGGAAAGGAGCTCACCTGGGTCTTCCAGGATCACTGCTCCGCTACCACTGAAAGAGTGACTAGGGCGTACACGGTAGAGGTGCAGACCGCTAGTGTCTTTTATGCGCAGAGTCTTATCCTCTTGCTCTTTGAGCCTTGAAGCAGTCAAGCATGGACACACTATATCGGCTGTTGGAGTGGAACCCTGTACAGGTAGGCTCTACTTCTCAGGGGGGGGGGGGGGGGGGGGGGGGGTCTTCGACCTGAAAAATCAGGGGTTAGGATTTGCACCCGGTCGAAAGAAACCTTGCTATCGCAAGAGTAACTCCAGCTAGCTTCGCTAGCTTTCGTGATTAAAATCCTTGTGCCAAGGACCATTTTTTTTGGGTTGCGAGTTTTTTGTCTCGTACTATTTTTTTGGACAGAGGTGAAAAACAAACACACATTTTTTTCCTGAGGTTAACCCCTAGGAATTGACACCAGCTGTGCCCCGTTGTGTAACGGTGGACCGTGGGCGATCACCTTTTTGGTTGCACCACATGTTTGTCATATGTATCATATCTTATTAATGGCATTCTATTTGGCATAGATTCTGGTGGTATATGTCGCCGGCATAAGCACATTCCCCTTGGCATGTATGTTGAAGTCCTATTTGGTTTACTTTCTTCAATTCTATTTGGAGCACTTTGGCATGGTATCTGCGTTGTTGCCGGCACTCAGTCCGCTTGCGGTGGCGTGACGTGAATGTAGTTACTTCTCGGTGGCGCGTGGATTTCCCCCGCTCTGGCAACGGCAGCCGGCTGCCTTTCGCCTCCGCTCGCGGAGGTCTTGGCGCTGGTGGGCCCAGTCGCTTGCCCCCGCGTGGGTGGGCATGATACACTGCAACGCCGTGTCCCAGCCCCGGTGTCATCCAGACTCGCTGCTTTGCCTGGGCCCCCCCCCACAAAGAAAGAACTGTCAGTTTGCTTGTGCCCTCCATGGGCCGCACGCACATTGGGCATACATGTCCAGCACAAGTTCGTTCCAATCCATCTGGCGCAAACTTCGGGTTCCACCTGACATTTCCTGCTCCTGCCAGCCACCGTGGGCAAAAGAGAGGCTGTCGTTGGCCAGTGGTACCCTGCGGAGGCCTTTAGCATGACGTTTTGGTAAATATGGTCGTATGCCCCGTCGCCGTCGAGGGAAAGGATGGTGCGCGTGGCTGTGGGGCATGGAGCACTGCCTCCACCCCAGCCTGTGTGGAGTGCAAGCTGGAACGGCAAACAGGCTGCATCGTGCTGGGCGAAGGTCCAGACCCAGCCGTCGGAGATCACCAATGACACTCCGGGAACAATTTTGCAGGGCAACGCTTTGTCGGACAGTGACGCGTGACCAGTAAAATCCACTTCTGTGAGAGGTGAAAGGTTACCAGCCGCAACTGTTTATCACAGTGGCGTGTGACCACCCCCGGGCCGTTGCAGACAGTAAGGGTGACCCCACCCGCCTTGCGACAGTGCGAACAGTCCATGTGACCTGCGACCACGCAGCGCTCAGTGCAATCTGGAGTTTGCACTTGAGGTGCGGTGCGGCAGCGCCCACGACCATCTGGCACTTGCTGTGGCAGCCCGGTAGTGCGGTTGAGGTTTGGGAGTGCCCACTGCGATCTGGAGCTGGCAGTTGTGGAACTGCTAAGGCGAGGATGCAAACACAGAGGATGAGGCGGGATCCTCTTCTCAGAAATCAACCAACCCATATCAGCCCTCACCTGATAGGTGGGGGAATGTAAGCCTTTTTGATTTTTTGGCGGTCTTTGCAAAGATACGGATCTTCTAACACAGGGGAAATCCTTGTCGAGTCTGACCACCCTTTGTCTGCAACAACTCCTTACGGCAAACAAACAATTGCTGTGCAACCAGGCAAGCATAACACATCAAGATGGCCACAACCATGGAAGCCTTCACAAAACATTGCAAAAACTAAGAAAACCACGCTAAAATGGATCAAGCAAGCTCTTGTTTTGCTGCAGCGACGCTTGCCTTATCCGCTGCACCCAAGGAAACACAACCCACATTTACATGCTTGGGGCAAGACCATGCCCGCTGGCGCAATCACTGGAGCTACAGTCTTTCGGGTTATCCTGATGTTGGCCAACCTCGTTGAAGTGTCACGGCGAGTGACCAAAGCAGGTCTCCATGTCTGGAGTTCCTGCTTTTAGACTTTTGAATGTGTGGCCAGACACTCGTGCTGGCAAGTTGTGTCCTTTCTTTGTGATGTCTTGTTCCATCTTCTGTATAGTGGACCTTTTCGATTGCCAATCAGTGGAACGCTGATGGCACCGCGCGAACTCGTTGGGATCGTTTCGTGCGCGAGTGGTAGAAGCTCCTTTTTTGAGTTGTCTCCCTCCTTTTTTCACCTAGATGCTTTTGCTGCTGATTGCGTGTGCACAGTGGCATTTCGGACCGTTCCACCTGGGGATGTCGTGTGGCGGATCTGGAAGCGAGCGCGGTAGAAGGTGCGTTGCAATCAAAATGGCGGAAGCTTGACTAGTCAAGAGTGTTTGGTGGATTGTATGCAACAATCAACGACTTCGATTTTGCATGATTTTACGCCAACACGTGGCACATTCCTTGGACACGTGATCGAAAAATACCCATAAATACCCCAATGATTTCGCAGACCTTCGAAGTGATGCACCCGGCGTTTTCAAAACGGATCCACCGGGTTCACATGGCCGCTTCTCGCTTGTCTAAATCCTTGACGTGAGGCATTCTGCTGACAACGCGTGAAGGGAAATGCTGGCGCTGGAACACATGGGGGGATGGATGGGGATGGGTCAAAAAAGAGAGCCACACAAACCAAGCACACGGAGTCAGCCGGGGTGGAGGGTCTGAGGAAGCCACACATCCGTCGCGTCAGCCGGGGAAGGCGAGCCACGCAGCCTTCGTGTTGCGGCGAAAAGACGGACACCAAGCTTTGAGGCGTGCATCTCATCTTGCCGTTGCTCTTCCAAATGTCGGCGAGTGGTTGGCAAATATAGTTGTGTTTTGAAATTTTAAAATAGCTTAAATATGTTCAATAATATTGACGCAAAAAGAGAGAGAGAGAGAGCAAGCAAGCATGAGGACATCCGTGATTCGGGCATCAAACAGCTATGCAACATCTGCAACTGATGTGCATCTTCCATCCAGGCCGCGTGTTTATCGTGTGTCAGTGGACGTCCTGTCCATTGTGGGTGCTGCGTCCGCTGCTTCAATGATGTGGGTGCTCCGTTTATTATGTCATGTTGCTTGCGACGATCGTCTTGTTTCATTCCTTGGGCGTTGTTCGATCGATCCACGTTCCTCGCCACGGCGGCGAGTGAGGTCCACTGATGCGAGTGATGAGCACGCACGAGTGGGTGTGAAAAGTGAAAAGAAGACGTCAAACGGTGTGCCTTCCCACACCAGCTGTTCAAAGTCAGGCCACACGTCACGAAACGACCGTACTGCGGAGGATTCTGCCGGGGCGAAGCTCCACCAGTCTGCAAATCCTTGCGCTGATTTTGGACACAGAAACGTGGCGCCAATGTTGTGAACTCCCAACCTTGTAGGCCACACAACCCCCGTCATTTGCGCAACTAACTCTTGTCAGGTCAAATTCCTCACCTCGCTTTCCGCGGAAGGAACTCCGCAAGGAACGCATCCTTTTGCACATCTGCATCGGTCCACGTGCAACCCTGGGTCGCGGGCCGTCCACGACGGACAGTCTCCAAATATTCCAGATGTCTTCAAATTCAGAGTCGAAAAAGTGTCCAAGTTCAAGAAGGTGGTCTAAATAGATCTGATTTGGCCGATCGAGGCAGTGTCGACCCCGACCCCAGGTGACTCGTTAACCCGTCCCACGCGTCGCCGGCGTGCGGCCGGCTTCGCCGCACTCCGCACGCCTCACGGCAGCTCAGGCGTTGGGAGGTCGGAGGCGCTTTGGCCTGGCACGGCGAAGTGATGGCATCCCCCCTCCGGCCATTACTGGTACGTAGTTGGCTTTGAGAAATTCGGGAACTCCCTGGATTTACTGCGTTCCCATGTTTTTTGATGTAAGAAATGTCGTTCAGCAGCGTAGCATGTCTTGCATGTCGACATTGCGATGTATGCTGATGGTTGTTACAGTTAGGTCACAATGACAAGTGTTTGCAGTACAAGTATGTTTTCAACAACCAATTGAGTCTTGGATACAGTGTGATGGACTGTGATGTGATGAAATCAATTGTAGACTGTTGCCTGTATGACCTATGGTTGTATTTTTGCCTGGCAAGGGATGGGTCAGCGATGGTCGATGTGCAGTCTACCACGAGTCCATGGCCCAATCCAACAAGGATTCAAACCAATCAACATGCCCCACGCTCCACGATCCTGCGCTTCTCTGCTCCTGGTCGACATCTTTATTAGCACACCTTCATTACCCCAGTCCTTAACCGCTGGAAGATGCCCACATCCACATTTGATCCTACGGTCTCTCATCCAAGCTCTCCAGTATGTTCACTCTACCTGTCCCTGCCTCACTTCCAGGTGGACTTCGGCAACTCCCCCATGTGCGCCAAGCCAGCCACCTTTGCCCAAATCACGCTCTCCTCATTCCTGGGTGCCGTGCGGCTGAAACCGTTGGGGTGGTGAGGTCCAGTGTTGACCTGAAGGAACCACCTTGAGAAAGGCTTCGGATGGAAGCCATATCACTGCAAGGCCAGTCTTTCAAAACCTCCTTCTGGCCTTTAGGGAACATTGGCTTTTTTCAGCGGCGTTGAAGTTACAATTAATTACACTTGATCTCTAAAGTGCTAAAGCGATCCTGGTGTCACCCAATGTAGCCTGCTAAACCCAAAGCGAGTTTCTCTGCTTCCCTCCCACTCTCTCTCTCTCTCACACACACAAAGCCTCTATCCAAAGTTTGGGAATGCACACCAGGACCGTCAATTTGAGGTGTCCAACGTGGGATCGTGTATTGGTGACCCTATCACAAATGTTGCCATTGCCGGAGTATACAGTATACGTAGGCCCCAAACTTGAGCTACGGCCAAAACCTGGTAGGAAAGGCTAAACCATGTCTTGGGGGTGCCATTGCCACTGCTCCGATTTGGTTCTAATCTTCCGACCTGGCTAAGCGGCCAGGCATGGCCAACGACGGGGCCTTGGGAATGCCTCATGAGCCTGAGATGACCAATCTTCTGTCACAGAATCACAGAAGTACCCCCGCCAAAGGTGAGTCAAAGCTTCATCAAAACATGTTCTAATCATTCTAGTCCCACCACGTCCCATGCCACACCACGGATCCACGGTCGTCGTTCCCCCGGTGTTCCCCCCCTTTCAAGGCCCAGGGGGCGTGAAGGTCACTTGCTCCTCCGGCTGATACCGCTCCAGCTCTGCTGGGGGCCACTTCCTGATCCGACGTGCGCGCCACCGCAAAAGCGGTGTGCCGGGCCTTTTCATGCACAAGTGAGTCAACAGGTCAATAAACACTGGGCTCCACTGTGCCATCATAGTGTGCTTGGCATTTTTATGGATGATTGACCCTTGCGAGAGAAAAGGCGGGCCCCGAAAAGGTGAATCCCCCTCGAAGAATCCATTGGACGTGCGCATTGGATGGGTGGCTCGAGGGAATATACATTAGTCGGAAGCCCTGTGTTTGAAATTATATATATATATGTGATTATATATATATGTGATTATATATATATATATCTTTTGTTGGGTGCTTGGACGAAAAAGATCGACTCAAAGCGAGTGCTCGACAGATCCACCCATCGTCGGGTTTCACAATCCCAGGCACAAGGGAGAGAGCTGCGGCAGCTTGCGGTTCTGATGCGCCTGCTTCGTATCGTCCGGCCTGAAAAATGGCTGATCTTGAACAAAGGGTGGGTGCCAAGAAGCACTTCTTGAGGTGGATATATATATATATAATTATATATAGTATAATTAGGTAGGAGGCCATTGATATTAGGTTGGAGGCCATCGCTAGTAGGTTGGAGGCGGTGTGCCAAGAAGCACTGCTTGAGGTCCCTCTTCCAACTTTAAGAATGGCTTCCAAGGCCCCGCTGTTCCGACTCGTTCCGACCGATTAACATGCACAGCTTCACCATTCTTCTTCCAAGCATTCCCTCATGGAAAAATCATTCCAAGGACCCTGCAGTCAGCAGTTTTGCTGACTGCATACGTGGTGAAGAGATGTGAAGATTACAGTTGTCCAGACAAAACCTGTCAAATCACACGACCGAAAACCTCTGAAACTTTGTAGTTAGTGTTGTTGTTCTTTTCAAATCATTAGCTTGCCCTGGAGATTCACAACCTGGGACCAGCATGCTGAAACATCTCCTTGTTGTCGGGGTGCAGATCACTAATCAACAGTCAACATTGCACCACCGAATCACAAGGAATCAATGCGTCCTTGCTCCTAATAGCTTCTTGTTCCTAGTAGTAAGGCCAGGAGCCCCTAGTAGCGTACTTGCTCCTAGTAGCGATGCCAGGAGCCCCCTAGTAGCTTCTTCCGCTCGGATCCCTTGAAAAAGCGTCGCCGTCCCCTTCCGCAGGTCTTCGTTCCCGGACGCCAACTGGCTCACCAGGATGGAGGTTGGAGGCCCGGGGTCCAAGGACTTCTCCCTGGCACGCAAAACACACCGTCCCGGCGGTAGCGCGTGGCATGTCGGGTTTCCGGTAAGTCTCATCAGTCTCATCCAAGAAGCCTTCTGGCTCTTTCGGGCGTGTGTTTGTATCGCTTTCGGTGTCTGCCTTCAACTTCAACAGCAGCAGTTCACTGAATTGACTTGCTGAGCTCGACCAACTTATTTACCACCGACTCATCAAATCGTGGCTCAATCAACATCAAAATCAAACAACCACTTCATACGAAATCAATGCATCCATCTTTGGGGTGCCTGGTCCCTTTCCCACCCGGAACCGGGGAAATGGCAACTTCTAATTAGGTGGTCGAAGTGAGTCAAATCTCGACATCATGCGTGATGATTCATTCAGTGTATTTCAGTGTATATGTTGGGATCCTGGATTTTTATTGGCTCTAAATCCTAAACGGTATCCATGTGTGCTTTCCAGCGATGCTCGACATCCAACCTGTGGCGAGGAACTGAGAGTTCCAGTTCTGCGAATCTGTGACATGTTGCGATGTCATTGTGGGTTCTTCTATCATACTCTATCTTCAGCTGGAGCCGTTCCCTTTTTTCGAGCCTTGTTCCCGTGGGGCTTGGTTCCTGTTCCAGGTCCCCCTGCCAGAGGGGCAAGCGGGACCCGATCTGCATCTCCATGTCGTAAATCGCATCCTGCCAGTCATCAATCTCTGCCCCGGTGAGGGTTGGTAGAAACACGATTTCTGGAAGCGTTCATCCCAAGGGGGGCCTAGCTAGAAAACAGTTGCTATATTTATACATATATACATATATGGTTTACATTATTTTGTATTTATAAAATAAAGGATCAAACTTGGTGATTAAAGGTATGGCTCACGAAAGTGTTCTGTGGAAGGAAATTCACCTCAGGCAATCTTGCCACCGACCAAACACTCCAAGCCCCACGTACCTGGCACTTGAACCACGTTTGTTCGCTTTTATCCTTAATGCATTTATCAAGTACCAAGGGCCGTCACCCCTGTTCAGTTGCTAATCTTGAAACCCCAATCAAACATCACCCTCAGATCATGAGATTGCATGATTTGGCCCCAGCTCCAGCGCTGTTCTTCAACGGTTCCTGGTTCTCAAACTCCGGCTCTTTGCCTGCGGCGGTTTTCCATTTCACCGGAAACTCATCTCTCCAGCCCGGAATTCACGCGGAATTCCGGGTCGGGTGCATCCACCCCATACCCGACTTGCCTAGCCTAGACACAAGAGAATACAGATTTGTTTAAACTGGACTTCAGAGACACCTAATTGCGATGGCCTCCAACCTATCAGCGATGGCCTCCAACCTAGACATGCTTAGCTTAGACATGCTTGCTCTTCATCCATCTTCTTCCGAATCCATTCTTGCCAGTTGGCAGAGCTGTCGAACGCACTCGCATACATAGCTCTTGTATTGGGCTGCTGAGCCATCTGTACTCCCCTCTCATATTGACTCAGTAGCGCTTGATCCGATCTTTTCATTGTTTGTGGCCATGTCTTAATGCAAAGGGTGACCCACTGCTGCAAAAAACAAAACAGGCCCAAATCGATTCTCCCCTTCTTGGCCCGGGCAAAGACACGCCCTCGCTTCAGCCGTGTCCCCGCCTTCCGAGGGATAGGGCGACCCGCCGCTCCGCGGCGATCCGCCGCTGCGCGGCGACGAGCCGCTGCGGCCCTTGCGCACGCCGGCACCTGCGCATGGAAGCACCGGCAATCCCGGAGTGGTTGGACCGGTCCTTCCGATGTGTTCCGATTGAAGCTAAACTCTCGGCCGGTGCAGCGGGTGCATGGACGGTCGCCACCACCTGCCGTGTCTTGATGGTTGGCCGCCAAGCGTTCTCGTACATTTAGGTGCAAAAAACTGCCCTTCGCATCTCTTTCAGCCCAAGGAGAGGAGCTTTGAGCAGCTAAGCATTCCCTTTCCATAAGCCAAGGTTGGTGAAAGGACTACACTCATATAAATATAGACTATAGAGCATACACCACAGAATTGCTTCGGCCTTAACATATACACCAGCCAGTAGTAGCAACAGCTAAGGTCCCCACACAGATAGCCAAGTGAATCCTTGAGTGGAATTCATCTGTTTGGAGGAGGAATCCCCACCCCTCACAATAAACCTCTGAATCATTGTAAATCGCTTTCCTCTTTTAAGTCACTTGCCTCCCATGAGTGAAATCTGTATGGGAAAACCGCAAATTCGTTTGTCTGGGGACCACCATTTACAATCCGCACCCCCTCACAATGTGTCTGGCATCCATGGTTTTGGAGTGGATCTGTTCACCTTGTGAAAGTACTGCGACCGCGACCTCATCGAACAGTCAACATTAGATTCTCTTTGAAGAACGCTAGTCTTAAATTAGAGTCTTGTCTTAAAATACGTCGTGGCTCAAACACCAAGATTCCTTCATCACGTGATAACCGCGCCTGAGGTGGCCGCTGCCCTGCGCAAGTTCCGCAGCGCCCCCTGAGGCTTCCGCGGCGCGGGACGCGGAAACCACCGAAGAGCGAGCGAGACGAAGGGAGAAGAGTCAGCCAAGGTGAATAAAATCTGGTCTGTGATACTGACTGATTGTGCCTGCTGATTGCTTGGTTGGTTCGTGGGGGCTGATTGTGGTTGATTGGATTGGTCGGTTGGTGGGCTCTTGGCTTCCTGGCTGGGCTTTTTTGCAGGCTCCTTTTCCAAGTTCCAAGTTGTCAGTCATGAAAAATCACAGAAGTCCGTTCAAGCACCCATTCGCTATACCCACACATGTCTCTTCTGGGTTGGATTGCCCAACCCACAAACATGTTCCTGATTTCCACGGGGAGAGGTGGAACTCTTATTTCCACATCGAAACCGGCCCTGGTTTTGTGGGAAATGCCATGGGTCGAAAAAAACAAAAATGAACCGAATTGAACTGCATCCACCTAGGGCTTTTTAGAGCTGGCTTTACAAACGCTGACAATCCCAAAAAGAGCTCCATCCGCTCCTGGCCATGCCGGCTCTTCTGCTTCCACTCCCAGCGCCTGGTTTGGGGCTCTGATAGGCAGCTGTTGAGGCTCTTTGGAGTGGAAGAGACGGGGAGGTTGGGCACCCGGAGTTGGGATCAGGTGCTGAAACCTCACCTCATGTTTGTTGGATTTCTGGGCGTGCGTGAAGAGGGCATGCTACACGACGAAGGCGCTCACACGGGAGCCGCGATGGTATACGTACCATGGTATACCGGTATAGCACACTTCGATACTTCGAAGCCCAATCAGTTCTGCAAAACTGTTGTGCCAAAGCCCGATTTTGATGGTCAACAAACAAGATCGTGGTGTCCGTTAAACATCATCAAACCACATCACATCATATCATTAAACCACGTGGAACTAGGAGGTGACTTGATCCAACGTCGAAACGACATGTCAAGTGACCCATTTGCACAACCCCCTTGAAACTGAACAGCTGTTCCTTAGTCCCTTACAGTCCAACAATGCCATATGTGCCTCGACTTTCCCGTTTTTCTCCGGTTGAAGAACCTCTCTTCCCCAAACCCCCCTCTACTTCACAGGACCTTCAAAAGATCAGGTCAAACTCTGTCCCCATCACATGCCCAGTTCTTCACGCCATGTTGAATGAGACTGCCACACAGTGCACACATTTACGTAGGAGTTTCCTCAAACATCATCTTGCATTCCTTTTATGTTCTCGCTTTTTTGCCCGCTCAAACCGTTGAAAGAGACTGTGGGAGTATGGACTATGGCTATGGACCCTGCTTTTCCTGCTTGGCGGAGGGAGTGGGGAGCATAGTTCTCATTTATAGTATGTTCTGTCGCCGCAGGCGGAGGCTACGGTGAGTCGACGTCCTCACAAACGGATTCTGTCGCTATTCTATACGGAAGAGAGGCGAGGGGAAAGTCTATAAAGTTCATAAGTATATATACAGTAGATAAGGAGGTTTCTATCGCTTCTTCCAGGTGGTGTGCTCTACCAATGGTGCTTGGGGCTGGTGTGCACACTGAATCATGCTTCACGTCTAGGCCGCCGCGCTTCTTTCGTATGTAAATGGCAACTCTCCTCGCCGCGGACCCCGCGCATCTTTCGTTTGAGCGAGATGAGATCCCTCTCCCAAGGCGCGGGCCCATCGATGAACGGAGCCACTCTGTTACTAGTTGCGTCCTTGCTGCTAACAGGTCCATCGCTACTAACAAGTGCGTTACTACTGGTAGCAAGACACCTTGTTACTGGTAGCGATGCCTTTGTTGGTTCAATACCATGAGTCTAAGAGAACTGGACAACTCCGCCCTTCTTCCTTTGGAAGAAGCGGACACATGTGTGGCACATGCGTCAAATAACTCATCTGCCAAGAAAATCAAAAGTTGCAAAAGCCACAAGAGCAGGACATGCAACTGGGCCACACACAGAGACACACACACATGGACCGGTTTCCTTTAAAGACATAGCCACTCAAGTTCAACGATTGGGGGGCTACTGTGTCAACACTTAAAATGACAGCCAAATAGTAGAAAGCCGTATGTATGATATGTCTTGCCCGATCCAATGGTCTGCAGGAATCAAAAGCATGACTGCAATGGACAAGCCGATGCTCAATCACAATCAGTTCTATTGAGCTCGGTTCCACATCTACTTTGCAATCGATATCTCCCAAGCTTTGAGCCGTCAAAGTTTGGCACTTCCAGTTTTCACGGAAGACGGTTGGATCGACCAAAACCGAAACAAACCACGGCCTAAACTGCCTGAAAATAGACCCACGACGTGCAGGAAGTTGCCGATCCCAAATGGCAGTCCCGGGATGTCCTATGGTTCTAACATGTTCTAACTAGTTATAAAATTGCCCACGCCCCATCTCCTTGCAATGACAATATGCGCAATGAGAACCGCATCCGTACCGTACTCTGCAGGCAATTCCTTAGGTCGAAGCGGGTGAAAAAGACAACCTCGTACGACGCCCGACCTCACCTCACGACCTCACCTGGGTCATCCTGGGGAGAGAAAGACAATCGGGGTCGTAAGCAGAACTTTGGTTGAGGTCTCACGCAAGGGTATCATGAATTTTATGTCAGGTTCTTGGGTATGGTCTGGCAAGCTGGTCGATATTTGCGCTTCAAGCTCGACCCACGCAAAAGGGCCTGGAACCATCGATGAGACGATGAAGAGACTTTTGCCAGCTTTTTCTCAACCCAACTTCCCCAAGTCTGAGCTCTGTAGTCTGCATTTCTGTGACTGTGGGCATGTCAACAGCATCACAAAAAATAAAGAAAACCTGACAAATCGTCCCCTGCAGAGATACCAGAGCCATAACATGTCTTGCCGAGCGGCCGGGAAGGCGCCATTCCAGGTGCGCAACGCCTCCTCATCGAGGCGAACCTCACACGCTTGGACGGTTTTAGCCGCGGTTCGGGAACCGACGTTCGAAGAAGACGACGATGGTTCGTGTGGTTCTTTTTGTTGAGGCCTGGGTTTATGTCCATGATTCACCCGCTTAAAAGAGATAACACAGCTGATGATGGAATATAAGGGAAACATAATTATAGAGGTGTTCCTCGTTCGGCAGTGGATGCATCATCAGTAGGTGGCTTTGCCAGGCTGGATACGGTGTACTTGTGATCAGAAAATATAACAAGCCTCTAACTACTAAATGCAGAAAAAATGAAGTAGAAAAATGGAGAACAACCAGAAAGAACACAAACAGACTGAATTCCCTCTTGTATTTGGTTTGAGTGTAATATATTTTGTTCTGTTTGCTTCTTTATGTGTTGATCATCTTTGATTATTTTTGTACGTATTTGTCAATATCCAAAGGTTCCATGGCCTTGAATATCGTAACCGGATGCCTAGAAAAATCATGACTCATGACCCTCACAAACGAAATGCATCCAAATACCCCCAAACCACTGTCTGCGGAAGAGCCAAGCTGTCACGCTTTTCATAGCTCTTGGTAACTTGGTATATGTAAATTACCTGTCGGTTTTCAGTGAAACGTTCCTTGGATCTCCTTGGGTTTGAGTGTTCAGCCCTTCAAGTTTGGTGAACAAGTTTCCGTGTCTTGGTCAGGTCGCCTGGTTGAAGTCGCCTTTGCTCTCTGCGCTGAGAAAGGCGACCCTGGCGGCTTCTCTCGAGTCACATATTGGTCGATCCTACTCGCGCAACTCTGTGGCGCCTGGGTTTGCCAAAAACAAGAGCGATTGAAAAGTCCACTTCGATGCTTTTCATATTACAAGGCTCTGCGGCTCTGTGTGTATTTCTGTGCCCATGAGGTAATACTTATCCAAGAGTCGGAAATTCAAACCTCTGGTTGATTGGAGTTCTTGGTCACCCCAACACAAACGCACATGTGTCTGACCTGAAGCATCCTGCAGATCAGGGAGAGGATCATTCCCAAACCACAACCTCCCCTTCTCCCCCTCCTCTCCCTCACTGTTTCCGTTCAGCCCTAAATCTCTGAATTGGGATAAAACACATGCCGCCTATACATGACTCTTTTAGACCTGTTCTCATCCTTTCTCAAGCTTTCTTCCACCATCTCAACATACCATAAGATGCAAGCGGATAAAATGCTAAGCCTGCTAAGCGTGGTGATCTACGGACTGCCCTTCAATTGTGGTTAACCGAACAGTATTCGCAAAGCCTCAAAAAGAATAACACAAAAAGTGTCCAAACAATGACGGTCAAAATGACCGTCCACTTCGCATCACCATGTCAAAGGTCCATTCCTGGTGAAGCCCACATTGGTTTCAAGCATGCCGGGAGGGACGAGCGCTGTGCGACCAACTTCACCACATCGCGGTAGGCCAAGGTACTGGGAAGAACTCAGACCAGCTTCTGGCAGTTCTTGAGTTTCTGGGACTCCGACTTGAAGAGATCATGTTTTTCCTTTCTTTTTCGGGAGGGTTGCCTTGGGGAAAGACTTGGCAAATGATTCTGTGGCATCACAATAGGAGAGCTGAGGCTGAGGTATATCTCAAACCGATCAACCCACCACATCTGTCAGTTTTCCCCTGTGCTTCAGACCCTGTCGTTTATAGGTCAAGCGATCCGGTCATGTCGGGTCAACAGAATTAAAAGCCCAGCGGCCGTTTAACCTCAAAGACCGTTTAGTCTCCTATTCGACCAATAGAAGAATGATCTTCTACCCAGGTTTCAGCCATTTGGTGTAAGTATGACCACCATCTAGATCCCTTAACAATTGTTTGGCCCCGTTTCGCTTTGCCGGGCTGAAACGCTCCCACCGTTCTCTGCGGTCCTGCCCTCATGGACCTGTAGCTGCATCATGTGGCGGAACATCTGCTTCCTTGGACGAGACGCACTTCCAGCCCTTGACATTGGGGGAAGCCGGGGAAGCAGCACCTTTTGATGGAACACGTCCTGAAACCAAACGAGGAGCCGAACATCATGGCACCCGAATCCAGCGTGACCGAGATGGCGACGAGTTCTGGAGCGACGTTTGGGAGGTCGTAGTCACAAGAAGATACTAGGTGGAGGCCATCGCTATATACTAGTAACAAGAATAGTAACAAGGTCCATCAAACATGGGAGTTTGGAACTTTGGGACAATCTTTCGGAGTCCAACAGTGGGGTGTGCTGCACGATGGAGACTCAAATAGAGGGGGGGTCTTGATCAGGATTTCATAGATATAAAATGGGTGACCTACACGCCATAGAGCTGTATACAGTAAATCAAGCGTGCTGAGTGCTGAGGGAAAATAAGAGTCTATAGTGTATAATTGTATGTTGTCACACGTGTTGACACTAATTTGTGAACTCACCCAAGTAAGATGTTCTATAAAGCTGCGAGTCCTTTCTCATCCTGTCTCTCTCATATTTTCTCATTGTCTCCCTCTCTCTCTCTCTCATTCTGTCATTATCTCTCTCTCTCTCTCTCTCTCGCCATCCGTCCCTCCCTCCCTCCCTCCCCCCCCCTCTCCTCGCTCTCCCTCTATATGTGTGTGTATATATATATCTCTCTCTCTAAGCCTAAAGACTAGGGATCTGCCTTTGACCACCTGAACAGGAGCCTTGGGTTTGTCAACCATGAGTGCGGAGACTGGCAGAGAATGTTCAGGATTTGGTTCTCAGGGTTCACCATCGCCTTTCGAATCTTTGGAAGCGACCTCAGCCTCCTTTGCATCCTCGCCCTCATCCTGTGGCTCCTCTTTTTCTGAGGTATGGGCGTCAAGTTCCACACAGTCTTCCTCTACATCATCTATCATCATCTTCTCCTTCCTTGTCCTACTCACCTTCAAGCTCCTGAAGAGAGTTTAGAATCTTGAGAGAAGTGGGTGAACTAAAGGTGGCTACTACTTGAATGAGATGAGGTGCAGAAAATGCATGACGACGAAGGGAGGATGAAGAATCCTCACTTAGACTGTGATTCATTGCTCGATCCCGGCTTCCCACTATAATTTTGCTCTAGAACTCAGGTCGTGATGTGCAAATCACCCTCTGGAACGTTCGGAAAGTATATATAACCATATACCCAATATATATATATGGAAGTATGTGAGAGAGATTGTCAAACATCCTCAAATTTCACTGTTGCCAGGTCCCCTTGTTTGGGCTTCATGTTCCCATATTCTGCATATTCCATGTTGAGCCCCTAAAAGTCACCCGCATCCGAAAACGTTGACCTTTTACCACATGTGAATTGGATCTGTTTCACATCGGTTCACCGTTTCCCCATGTTTCCCCGTTCCAAATCCAAACTGCACAGACTTTGTGCTGCTCCAAATCCAAAAAGCCAAACAAAAATAGGTATATATCAATACGGTTCATGGTCCAAGCAACTTCTTACAGCCGTTGAAGCCCACCGGCTGAGGGATGGCGAGCAGGATCCGTTCCTCACCGGCGATGTGGCACCAGCTCCGTTCGTCCGTCCAACCTACACTTGTTCCTAGTAGCTTCTTGTTTCTAATAGCTTCTTGTTACTACTAGTAAGGCACTTGTTACTACTAGCGATGCACTTGTTCCTAGTCCAAAAAATGGATGTGTAGATTTGTCGTATCTAGACTATGCACACTCGACAAGTTTCTTTCTAAAGACATGACATATGGCTTTATGTCCAAGACCATGAAAAGAAAGGTCGACCTGGTTTGGTAGTGTAAAATCGCTAGCAAAACAATGGTTCTTCGGCGGTTGGAATCCTAGGGCCTTGTCTCAGGGTTCTGAAACCAGGTTGTGACCGCCAGGCTGTGGCCACGAAGGACCAAGAAAACGGTATATAAACATCACTGAAACAAGTATTTGAGCTGCAAAGGAAGCATGGAGCATGGAACCATGCACAAACTTTTGACCTTCCCCCTCAAGCAATCCTCAACGGGTGTCCCAATGTCCCATCCATCTTCCCAGTCTCAACACAGCTCTGTGGCCTCCTCTCAACGCCTTTACACACACACCCGGATCGCTGGGCTGCGGGCAACTTCACTCATGTGCAAATAGCCCAGGAAGTTTCGGTCCACTTCCACCCACGACTCCCGCCTGACGGACACACCGGTGAGCATAGCTTAGACATAGCCCCGGCATGCCCCGGCAATCTGTTGGGAGAAAACAAATGTCCATACGCAGCATGTGATCCGCCTTACATATGAGTCTGGAGCTTTGGGTATCGATCACTCGAAGAGCGATAACTCAGCAGTGCCCAGTATGCTGAACCAGTCTGTGACACATCAAATAACAAGGGACATAAGAGTGCCACATAGATTCCCACCAGGAAGCTATGGCGGTGCCACATGCTGTGAAGGAGCTAGCAATACAAAGCTTGAACGTTGAAGTTTGCGTACTGTATGTTTGCGTGACAAAGCAAGCCAGCCAGCCAGTGACCAACCACCAAACTCTTTGACCCCTCTTCATCTTCAACGACCTTCCGGGAGATCATCGGGGTGATCAGAAGCTTCCGCCGTCCAACGGCACGTCCGAACGTCACGTCCTGTTTCGGTCCAACCCCCAAGGCACCCCACCCCGTTTGAGCCACCACTCCGCTGTCCAACCGACAAAAAAGGGACACGGCTTGAGCTCCCCCGACAGGTGCCGCACGCAGACCATGAAGTCTTCCAGCTCGATGAGCTCATGGACCTGTCCGTACCTGAATGACCGAGTCTGACTTTCCGGTGTTGAGCCTAGATTGATGACCCAGCAAACAGAACGAATCGACTGTGATTTGGATTCATGAAAAAGGAACGTCAGGCAAACATGAGGATTGTGTCCACCAGATTGGCAATGGTCTCTTCTAGCTGCTGTGGCTATGATATGCTATCATCTGTGACCAGTGGGTACCAAACTGCAAGGCCTCAACTCGACCTACTTCCAACTTATTTAGTCGGTCGTTGGAGCGGCTCACGCATCCAAGACCACTGCCACAATCAAATTCATCATGTTGAAGTAGATGATGGCGATGTAGCCGATGAAATACGGGTACCTCACGAAAATCATCTGAACAAATCGCGCCAAGCTCGCGGAACAATACCGCGGTATTTGGCCAACACACTACGTAGTTTCAGGGGCTGAACTCATCCGAAATCCGACATCTCAAAACACATGAGGAAACAAATTCGCGCTAATGATTTGGTTTCTAGATGTTTAGGGAAACTTAATAGTAATGCCCTTGTTACTTGTTACTAGTAGCGATGCTACTAATCCCCTCAGCATCCTCTGTCTGTGCCGAGTTGGAGAAGTCTCAGCCGACCTCTGAGCTGCACACGCTAGGATGCTGCCGCAGCCTCGTGGGCCATCCCTCACCAGGTCCTGCAGGTAGACTCAGGTTGACCGCTTATGGAGGAACCTGTTCCTGTTCATTTTCAGTTACGCACCTGGGCCAATGTTTCGGCGATTGGCTCCCCATCAGAACTGGTCTGACCGGGGGGGCCCTCATTCTGACAGTCCGCAGTGCTCCCAGTTCTCCAGATTCCAGAACGATGATTTCCCAACTTGTGTCTATAGTAGACTCTAGACCCTTTGGTGCCCCCACTTCCTCTACCAGCAAACAAGAACATGACAACTTGGCTGGAAGTCGACAGGAAAGAAAATGTGTGAAAATTGTGAGCCTTCATCTTCAGCCCCGACCGAGACTGTCAGGGAACCTACTCCCATCTCTGCATCGCAACAGGGTCTCAGTGGAATCTGACCCGAAAATTGCTCTGCTCTGTGTCGACAAGCCGCTCTCATACGCGCGTTATGTCGCAGCTCGCGTTCCGAGTGTTTGGTCCTCGTAGCTCTGCGGCTCCACGGTGCAGCCAGGTTTGTCCTCTGCGATGTCATACATGATGTCATGCCACCTCCCAGCGACCATCAGGCAATGTGGCGAAACCGCACTGCCCCTGCGACCCTGGGTGTGCTGTGCTCTTCTTCTTTGGTGTCCTTTTGCTTGCGGAGAGTGCTCCCTAGCATTCAAACAAAGGCCTGCGCGACCGAGAAGGGCACACCACTGGCTTTGATCGAATTTTCTATGATTCACCAGCCATCCGTGAAGCTTCTACACCTGAGAAGTTGTCCAACAAACATATCCAAGCCCAAATGTGCTTGAAGGTCGCAGTTACAGCTCAATTAGTTTTGGAGAAGATCCTTGCGCACCGCTTCTTCAACTTCTTCATCCAAACCGAAACAGGATGAAGCAGCTCAACAAGGTACTTCAGGTCGGTCATGGGTCGGAACCGGTCCCCGTGGCGAGTCCTTCTCCGACTGTCCTTCTCCATCCGTGAGCGTGGCCTCTCACCGGTGGCGCAGCGCACCAGGAGCATGAAAGCATTGCCGAAACTGTAAAAGTTCACCTGGCCAAGGACATGCAAGGACGCTATGCTCGGTGGCCATCGCCAGTAGGTTACCAGGCCATCGCTACTAGTTTGGCCGGAACTTGTCGCGCTGGGTGGCACCACTGCCTTGGAAGGCACACCGGCACACCCATGTAAAGCCCTCTTGTGAAAGGAATACCATAAGATTACATATTGTAATGCAATATTTTGTAATATATTATATATATATCATTAAATATCTATCTCATTCTATCTCTGTGTGTGTGTGTGTGTTTCAAGAATGTTCAAGACCTATCACAATTTGATCCATTTCTCGACGTTTGATCCCCTGTGTCGCCAGTGGGACTGATGAAATTCTGAGCTTCGGCTTCGCGGGCTTCTGAGATTCGTCGTGAGTGTCCGAAACATGTTCCAGGCGTCCAACCCCCCTCGCAGTGGCACCAAAACTCATTGATCATAAGAGCTCCTTCTACCCTCAGGGCTGTTGAAGAAAGTAAGGAAACACTGACACTATCTAACACTGAACAACAAAGATAATTACAGTAGTCTCCCAAATCTTCCAACATGTGGTCGTGGAACCCACTGTCCTTTTAGACACCTGCCAGACTCCGCCGTTTACGTGCGCAGTGCGCCGCACACCGTTGATGCGGCCCCATCGATCGTCCGTCGATGGCGGCCGCCGACGCGCGGCGCTTGTGTCGATGGCGCACATCGCTTTCCGGGTACAAATCCCCCAGGTTCACCACTGCCTGGCAGGGCGGGAAGTTTGGGACGTGTCCTTCCGTCCGCGGGGGTGAGACACAGTTCTGCTGGTCTTGGTTGGGCCCAGTTCCTCCCACTCAGCAACAGGTCCAGAAACCTAATGGGAACAGGAAATGGGAGGGGCATGGAGGGGCTTTCTTGAGACAGACATGGGACCCGCAGTGTAGGCACGTCGTTTGCTTCGCCGTCGCTCCTCCCGGCTTTGGATCGTGCCAAAGAGGCCCACGCCGAGACAGGCGAACCTGGGCGGGACCCACCCGGACGAACGTCGGCGGGGTCGGACGGAGGTGAAGTGAAACAGGGAGACCTGATGGACATGGGTGTGTTCGACCCTATAAGGATTCCCTAAGGCATGGGAAGGGGGGGACCTTGGAAATGGTGAGTTCGAGACGAAGGTTTGTTGATTGGGATAGGGGATATGGGCCTTCCAACAACTTAGAAGATCTCTTTCCTGATGTGTAAAGACACGTCAGTCCAATGGGTGCCCTCGAAGCTCTGACTCTTCTTGGCCTCTTGGATCCTCTTGGCGGTCGAATTTGGAAAATCGATGGGTAGACCCCCGCCACCATCGGTTTTGTATCCAAACAGATTCACGTATCGTGCTGACGCTTGAGTGGTCTGCGACCATCGACGATCGCCCGATCGCCGGCTGATCCCACTTTAAAAAGATGGACAGAATTCGCTTTCTGAGCCATTGTATGGGTTGGATAGGTCTTGACCCACCACAAGCTTTCCAGTCTAGTTTGGTGATGTTTGGTGTTTACAGCGAAGGAATCCTTCCACCATCCTCCACCCCCCCAATAAAACTCCCCTGGGCATCGGCATGAACATCAGAAGCGTCAGAAGTGCGCAAACTTGGACCAGCCCAGGCCTCAGACGCCACTCGACGCGCCGGCCCTGACGACAGAAACCCTTCAAGGCAAAGGACAGACCGAATTCACCACTTAGACCATGTAACATGCAAGATCTTTGGCAAAAAGCTTAGCAAAAGGCAACAGAAGTCTGTGAAACTGGACGTTCAAAGGGATGCTTCAAGATCTTCGTTCGCCTCCCCGCCACCTGACTCCCTCACCTCCCCCCCACTGCTTCAGCGCCAGAGGGTGCCAGTCCGACCCTGTGTCGATTCACTTGGGGAACGGATCAAAGACCGACACCGTGTTTTTCTGCGCGCACAGAGCGGGGGACATGGCTCCCTTTTCGATCGATGTGTGGGGGGGGGCCGTTCGCCAAGTCATGCCATCCACTCCTATTTCGCCACGGCACAACTAGCGTCCAGCGTGGCCGATGAAAGCAACAAAAGCCCGGCCAGATTGGAACGCAAGGAACAACCACCTCGACCGCTGAGCACTGCACATGGCCACCCAAATCGTACTGGTGATGCTATCCATGAACCAGGCGTATCTCACCTCGGAAACACCAACGAAGGGACCAAAGTCGACCGAGCTGGTTCCTTTCTGGGCAAAGGCATCTGCCACATGGGCCGATGACTAGTTTTGGAAGGCAAAGTCTCCCTGAAGCTCTGTTGTCTACTCTGTCCTCAAGGTATCTTTCCGCTGGAGGTTGTTGTCAAAGCAAAATAGTGTAGGATGTGGGAGTCATCAGTGATGTCAGTGGTGACTCCAAACAACTGGGGCGGGATCTATGTTGGGATCTATATAGAACGCCAGATGCAGGACCCCGCTGAATCACACTGTGAGTTTCGCCGCAATGCACCACATGCTGTACTCCCAGTGTCCTCATCAATTTGTTGGAGTGTGAAGCCAGGGTTACCTAGCCTCCAACTGTCCCACTCAGTGGTCTTGACCAAGAGTCTTCACACTCAGACGGCAAGTGGAGTGCATTTTTGTGACGAATCCGTAGCTCACAAGTTGTAGATTGTAGCCGAAAAACGGAGCTGTAAGAAGAGCTTGATCATGCTGTGAGCTGTTTCGCAGGCTCATTGATTCTGCAGCCTTCCTGCAGTGACTCCCTGCCCTACAACCATCTTCTGTTCGGAAGGCTAGCTACCCCCGCTGTCTATATAAGTGAGAGTCAGCCCCAACCGGCTGAACAGGTCTTGGGGGTTACAAAAGCATTCGTGAAGGGGTGGGTCTTGAACGGTGATGCAGGTCTGCTTTCAGTTTCCTATCCGTCCACCATGTGACTGCGTTAATTCTTGCAAATACTCTTCTTGTATGCTCCTGACAGAAACCTGTCGGGGATGTTAGGCCCTCCCCGATCGGAATTGGAACTGGCGGGGCGACCCAAATCAATTTGGGGAAACCCACTAGCAAATGATGACTTTCCCTGGGAAAAAAAGAGAATGAGTTCCCTTTCAAGGTGCCCTAAATGATGATTCTCTCTACGCATGTGTGTAGTTATTCTATGTCATGCATTTGGCTCTTTCTAGTGCACAAATGTTTGTCCCGTTGCCCCCAACCCCAGATTCAACCGAGCTCCCACTTCCAGGTCACCGACCCCGCGACCCTCCCCCACACCACAGGACCCGAGCCAGCATCAGGACTCGTAGGATTTGGAAGCCGCCGAGGATCTGCGTCATCACGCCCTGGCCGGCCACATTGCCAGACGAACTGCTGCGTCAACCGTCCGAGTCGGTGAGAGGTGACGGTGAAAGAAGGTGTTCTTCCAGTTCCAATCGTTCTCCCTGAGCCGAGCGCGAGTGAAGCTGCACATGCTAGCTTGATGTCAAATTGATCTGATCCCTCGGAATGTGCAATGCGTGCCATGGCTTTCATGCACCACTAATCCTTCACGCATGAGCCAGACCAACCACAGGATCATAGCCAAGTCGTCTAGTCTACAACGTCGAGGGTTCGGCACACCAGTCTGGATATGAAACTGGGTCCCCATGGATGCTCAGAACTGGCCAACCAAGCGTAGAGCGCCTTCTCTGCGACGGATGCATTCACTAAGACCCCAATCAGTGACCTTAGTCGCGACCAAGGCGATCATCCAAAGCCATCAAATGGACTACACTCACAAAAACACCCCCAAGACAATCCTTCCAAGCCGCCCCTCAGCGGCTGGAAACAGACTCAAACGTACTGCTTGAAGGAGATCTCAATTCAACGTTCACCATTGCAAACAAGGCACTCAAAAAGAACATCAAAAAAGATTCAAAAAAGAACATACCAGCTGCTTCCAAGGGGGTCACCAATGGATATCTCCACACAACTTACAGGTCTCCATTGGGCACCCCTTGGAAGCGCGAGGTATATCACTGTAACCGCCGGCACGTCGACGTCCTGTCGACTCAGCTCGAGGCCCGGTGATGGCGAAGCTGTCGTAAGCGTGCCATCGGTCCTGACGGACGCCACAGACGAACGGGGATGGCTCACCGGGCGAGACCGTTCGTAGCGAATGCTCCGGACTCGTACCGATGGGAGCCCCGTTCGTAGCGTCCGATCGCTCCTAGTAAGGCCCGGAGCCCCGTTCGTAGCTTGATTGTTACTCGGCTTCAGAGAAACCGCTCCGCCCATTTCAGCAGGGGCCACCGGGATCACGTGATGCGAGAAGCCGCGGGAAGGACATGGTCGGGCTACGACGGCTCGCATGGCCTTTCTATGTCCGAAGAAAAAGAAAAGGGGGGCGGAAAGTGCTGGTAAAGGTCATCCATAGGAGGGATGCTCATGAAAATCTGTTCATCCAGGGCTTGAAAAGAAGTAACCAAAACATGCCAAAACACCGTGTCCGCGGTAAACCCATTGTTTTCATTTGCTCTCTGTTGACATTTCACACGAACGGAAACCTTTTTCGGCTTCGATGTGCTCTCGATCCCTCGATTTGCGGGGATCCGGGGATCGGGCTTCGATGAGGATCGACCTTTCCACCGACGAAACCGACGCCAACGACCCACGGTTGCGATTCCAACCCAAACGACCCGTTCAAAAGCTAGCCAAATCACTCGTCTTTCGAAAGAAAAGTACAGTACGTCTCCATTAATTACTTCATATCATCATACTATTATATATTATATCTGCAAACACTATCGGTGCATGTTTTCTTCTCGGACGATTCATATATAGTGCTGAACAAACTTCTGACTGTTGCTGGATCATGTCACAGATTACACCTCGCAGCACCTCATCTTCGTCAAAACGAAACCTCATCAGTGGATAATCCTTTCAGAGTCATTTTGCTCACTTGGAAGACCCCAAGTTGTTCCAGTCCAAACTTGCTTGACGTGTTCCAAGCGTCCTTGAAAAAGTCCGTGCTGTACACGAAGATCTTGATGGCCAACTGGTCGGGATTCAATGGAAGCCAACCAGTTGGTCATCGTGCGGTCGGGAAGCGGTCTCGTTCGTAGGGGAAAACCGCGCGGACACTGCTGGCACCGTCTCAAGTGGCTGTGGCATGGTGAGGAAACACCGGAGCGTGTAAGCCAAGCTTGAGAACTGGGCAACTGAAAGTCCACCCCTTGAAATCTGGCGTTGTGTACAAACCAAGTCGGTTTGTAGTGCTCCTACTTGATCCACATTGACCAGAATATGAAACCCTACGTTTGGACCGCGGCGCGTGCTTCCAAGAACAAGGGAAGCGGCTGTGAGTCAAAATTGCTTCCCCCAAACCATGGAAGGCTAACATCACTATATAACTAAGAGATCCTCTTCCTCTCGAGCTCACGACATAGCGTGAGTCGCCACCAGCTTCCACTGGAACAGCACAGAAGAACCCCATGAAAACGCACTGCACAGTCAAGTTACGTAGTTTTATTATTTATGTATTAATTTTTGCAGGGTCCACCAGGGTCCCCCACTGTTGACCGCCAAAACAATTGATCCGTGGGTCGCCCCATCAGCGCGTTCTTTGATTTCTTCCGCGAGTTTTGTTCAACGTGGAAGCGGTGTCCGAACAGTGAAGTGGTTTCCTATCGGGGAACTCAAGCGCTTCTTTGCGATCCCCAACTCGTCACACCGCTTCTAAAGTCTCCAGGTTCTACAGCTGACCAGTCAACCCGACCAAACTACAAGAGCCCTGTCTTCCCTTTGGTTGAGCTAAGTAGAATCCAAAACAGGACCAGTCTTTGAGATGGGGATTGTATCCACCAAACTCCATCTACTTAGGTCACAAACCTATACTCATGTTGACTGATGAATCAATCCCCCCAAGGAACTGAATCTGCTTCTCACATTGTTTGGAACCATCGGAGAGAAAACGGTTTCTTTTCATCCACCGTCCACGTGACCAAACGACTCGTCGCCCGTTCGACTCGACGGCGCCACCGTGCAGTCCGGTGCCTCGATGGTGAAGAGCCCCAAGAGGAGCCCGCTCAGGGTCCTCAGCCCGCTGTGGGAGCCAGCTTGCCATGAGTCTAAACACCAAAGTAGGCGATCGAACGCAGCTGCGACGATCCACTGCATCGAACGCAGTCCACATGAAGAATCGAACGCCCCCGGTCACGCCCGAGAAGCTCCAATGAAGCTCCAATATAGTCCCAACAATTCCGGATATCGATCCCACGGGATTGTCCCATCGCTGCTGAGCCTCCTGACTGAGAAGATCTACCGACGCGGGCCACCCTTTTGGGGTCTGCCCTCAACGACTGGGGCCACCCTTCTTGTTCCTATGCGTTTCGGAGATGTTTGCACTCTGCGAAAGGCAGAAATTGACCTCCACGGCTAGTTGGACCGGCATCCTTGAGAGTGTCGGCAAGGATCTGCCAGATAACTGGTGATCTAGCGATCCACAAAAGAACATTTACGACCAGAAAATGTACAAGCTGGCGCCGCTCTGAGCGATGCGGGAAATCCACCGAGAATCTGAAAGCTGGAAATCTGCCGATAGAGATCCGGAAGCCTTTCACACGAGCTGGCAAAACTTCAGATGCTCTCGTAGACTTCGACCAACCCGACAAGGCACTTTGGCCTTGTTCGCTGTGGCCATTTTTACGGCCTTAAGGGGTGCTGTGGTTCTCTTAAGCGCTGGCTCTTACCACAGCCGTGTTGATAAAGCTCTTAGAGGTGGCCGCGTTGCAATCTTTCAAGGACGGCAAGGTGGCACGCATCAATGCCGTGCCATGGCCCTTCTTCACCAGAACCTGGGCGTCCCGCCACGAAATTCACCGGGGCCACCCCGTCGCTAGACTGATAGGAAAGTGTCCAGCACGGGCCCCCGGGGACAAATCGAGGTGGTTGAGGTTCCACCGAGAGTGTCGTCTCCCCCCAATGCTTTGAACATATTGTCGGTTGAGTGGAAGCAAGAGACTTCGGGAAAACGGGCAAAGATCAACCCATGAGAGGATTGTGCATCCCCCCAAAACAATTTTTGGCACGTGGTTGAGGAAGTCCTCTGTTACGCCCTTGAGAACAGTTGCACAAGTCTCCAACAGACTGTTGACCACCTGTTGAACCTGTTGTCTTCAAAATCTTCAAAGCATGCAGCATGAAGATGGTGCATTCGGCAAGTTGCCACAACTCCGGCCCTCCATCCTTCCAAGTCACCAGGATGGAGGAGTAATCCACATTGCCGCAGCCTCCACCAATCACCGCGCCGCTGCTATCCAAAGCAAAGGTGCTGCAAAGCCGTCCACTGGACATATCTTGCACTTGCACAAAGCCACCTGGTCGACGAGTTGGTCGGAGGCCATCGCTAGTAGGTTGTAGGCCATCGCTAGAGAGTTGGAGGCCATCGCTATCGGGTTCCTTTTTCATGAATTCAATTGTATATATATATTTTTTTTTTAATATTGCTTTTGTACAAAGCCACCTGTCGACGAGTCTTCGCTTGTCGGTCGGTCGACGGAGGTTCCTTTTCGGTCGGACGAGTCTTCGCTTCGGGCCTTGGTGAAAGACCAAGAGCTTGTTGTCGACCAGATCCATGCCCAGCACGCCCACCGTATCCTCCGGAGCTCCAAAAAATCGAGCAATCCCAATCACACTTGAAAAACAGAAAATAACAGAACGACATGTTGAATAGTGAACAAGAAAAACATCTATGTCTCTACCACCGAACCCCTTCTTCTCGCGTCTTCTCCTTTCTCCTTTCTCCTTTTTCCTTTCTCTCTCTCTCTCTCTCTCTATCTCTCTCTCTCCTCTTGATAAAATGCTAAGTGTTGTACACGCGCCTCTTTTGTACTGTTGGGACTTGAACTCAAGGGCCCTGTTGGTGTCAACTATCTCATTGGTAGTGTTGAGACTGTTGTTTGACACCGTCCCTCAGTCTTTACACTGCCAAACAAACTGTTGGACTCTATACAACTGTTGGACGTACCAACGAAACCTTAAGAGCTTAAACACTCAGTTCGCTTCTGTTGGTTTCATCTTTCAGTGTTGCCCACTTTGTTGGCATTGTCGCAAAAGGATTGGATGCCTCAGCCCGCGATGCGCCAGTCCGTTGGCCAAGTCTCTTCGTCCACGTTGTCGTTCTCACAAGTGATCTCCTGCACGCTGGTCCGGTGAGTGTTCACACTCGTCACCCACTCAGTCCAGTCATCCATGGTGTAACTGTTGACCCATTCTGCCAAGGCTTTGCGAAGCCGTTCTTGCATCTTTGCCGGGTAGAAAGGCAATTCCTTGTGGCAGCGGGCGTTGCGCTGCTTCTGGAGGAGGCTGAACACATGCTGACGTAGCGGCCAGGGAGATGCATCAGGCCAGTTGTGCCCGTGTACTCTATGGCCTGTTGCAAGGCTGCAAAGCACAGGTTGAAACTCCACGTGAACCCTTTTTCCCAAGACAGTTCTGTCGCTACTCGGTGGACAAACGACGCGCCATCCATCGGCGTCATTTTCCATGCCTGAAAGGAGCTCATCTCACTTGGCGTCAGCCGCATTGCGCTGCCGCTTTGAACTGGCAACTGCGGTCTCTGGAAAGACCGGTTGAAGATCTCCACGCCTTTTGTGCCAAGACTGTGAAGATGCTGAGACCTTTCCACCTCAAAGCTGAAAAGAACGAAAGTCTCCACCTCCAAGGACCTTGGTCCTGGTGAGCGTGAGGACATGGGTTTCTGTCACATGGTAGAACAAGGTCTCTGTTGCGTGTCGTGGGGACGTGCTCAGCAACGCTTTGTCCCACACTGGCATATAAACGCCCTCTGGGATGTTGAGAACACCTCCGTTGGCGTCTTTTGCCATGGACTCAAAGGCTTCCGTAGTAGTCGCCAACCACCACGTCTCTTTGTTGGTCAGCTGCGTTGCCACATGGTAGTCGTCTGGGTTGATGCACCTTGGGTAATCCTTTTGGTCTGGGGCAACCCTAGTCGCCTTCAGCCCAAGGTCGCGAAGGTCTCGTTCCATTTTGGCAAGCGCCGTCGATTTGCCAAGGTCTGGCAACTTCTTGAGCACCGTTAGGGCTGAGCTTTCCATCTTGGCGGTGTCTGCAAAAGACGTTGCCACACAAATGGTTGAAACAAAATGGCTGCGCAAAAGAATGAACTCAACTCTGGCGCAGCTCTTGTTGCAGTCATAAAAATACCCTCGTGGGCGTCAACTTTGTTGACTCGTTGAAACTTGAAACACATGTTGCAAGAAAGGCTGTAGACTTCTCACTGCTCTTTCAACACTTGTTGGAATCACACCACCTGCTGCAGTCCAGCTGTTCCAACGTTGTTGGAAGCATCACCATCTGCTGCAGTCCAGCTGTTCCAACGTTGTTGGAAGCATCACCATCCGCTGCAGTCCAGCTGTTCCAACGTTGTTGGAAGAACCATAGCTCAAAAGGATGTGTGTTTATGTGTGTGCACAGTTTGCTCACACAGGCTGCACAAGGTGTTCACTCACGAGATTTGGTGAAACTGTTCGCTGATGTTGGGCTCAGTGGTGGCCAAGAAGGCCTGCGTTGTATAGGCGACGCATCAGTGTTTCGGCTGACACGTACTTGGTGAGGATGTCGGCGATGTTGTCGTGAGTACCGATCTTCAAGATCACCAGGATTCCTTGGTGAACTAACTGTTGGATGAAGAGGTGCTTTCTGTCTATGTGTTTCGCTTTCTTACTTGCTCCAACCCTTGTAGCTATGCTTTTGCCGCTGCTGCTGTCTGTGTGAATCCTCATGTTCAGCTTGTCTGCTAATCCTGATTCCAAGATGAAGTTCTTGGCATGTAGTCCTTCTGTGGCTCCAGTGTTGATGGCGTAGAGTTCTGACTCTGCTGATGATAGTGCTACTGTTGCTTGTGTTCGACTGCCAAAGTTGATTGTTGACCCGAGGAATCGGATGACGAATCCAGTGGTGGATCGTCGTGTTATTGGACAGCCTGCCCAGTCGGCGTCCACAAAGACGTCCAAGTTTAGCTCGCTGTCGCTGTTGGCTAGTCTGACTGTTGGCTGGATCACGAACTTGTAGTGTTGTGTTCCTTTCAGGTAGCGCAGAAGGTGTTTTGCCGTCTTTTGGCTGTGTGCTGTTGGCTGTTGTAGAGATCTGGCTAGTTCCTTTGTTGCATAGCACAGATCTGGCCTGGTGTATGTCATCCATTGTAGTTTACCCACAATTCGTCTGTATTGCGCGTGTTCTTCAGTGTTGAGTGGAGTGTCATCTTCCACTGCTGCTTTCAGGGACGCCGTCCCTGGAGTGGTGGGTTGCATTGCTCCATGTTCATCTCCTGTAGGAGATTTGCAGCGTAGCTGTCTGCCAGGCTAATCTCATAGTGGTCTCCTCTGTGTGTGAGAGGAATGCGATGGTCTGACCCATGGTGAGTGTTCCTGTTGGACGTAGTAAAAGTTGTTTTTGTATAGCGCGGAACGTGTCTTGTATTTGTTGTGGTTCTCCTACAAAAAGGAGATCGTCTACATATGCCATGATGTAGACTGTTCCGGCACTGTTGCAGTAGACATTGGGCTCTGCTTTCAGCCTACGCATGTTGAGCTGCTGCAGTGTTTGTGCCAAGTGGTCCTGCCAGGCCTCTGGCGAAGACCTGAGGCCATAAATCGCCTTGTTGAGCTTCCAAGCGATCCGATCTGCTGCGTTGTAGAATTCTGCTGGTGGCCACATGTAGAGGTTTGATGTTGCTGCGGTAGCGTGAAGAAATGCTGTTGTTATGTCTCCTGTTGCTGCAACCCAGGATCGTGCCAGTGCCACTGTGAGGAGGATCCTGAGAATGCAGAGCATGGGTGTTGAGGCGTAAACGCTGTCAAGGTCGCTGATTACTTCTGTGAACCCTTTTGCAATTCGTGCTCTGACTTCAGTGGTTTTGTCTCGAAAGGCCCATTTGGACTCTATGACGTTGCTTTGTTCCTCTGGTGTGAGATCGTCATATTTGACCTCTGTGTATACTTGTTGTGTCTTCATTTGTCCAACCTCGTGCTTCATACCTTTGATGGTCTTTTGTTTGTCAAACCCTTCTGTGTTAGTGACAAAGGGTTCCAGGAGAATTCGCTCTGTTGCTGCTGCGTCTGGGTCGTCACATGTGGTAGTTGTGATCTCCGTGCCTTTCTTTGTGGTCACTGTTACGCTCTGTATTCGTGTTCGTGTTGTCGGTGATTCCACGCTTGGACCCTCCAGCGGCGCTGGTGCTTCCGTGGTCCGCTGTTGCTTCGCTGCGCTTCCTTCCGTGACTTCTTCGGCCATCTCCCGTTTGGGAGATGGGAGTGGAAGTGCTGGCCTCGAGTGCTGCGATGTGGGAGATGTTGCCATTGGAGAACCCAAGAGAGCTCTCGGCTTTGCGTCTGGTGTTGTTTGTACTGGACGTTGTTCGATCTCTGTTCCTGTAGTGTGCTGTGGCTCGTGCGTCGTTTGCGCTCCTGTGGTTGTCGCGCTTGCTTCGGCGCGTTGTTGTGGTGGAAGTGGTATGACCTGCGGCGCCGTCTGAAGCGATGTTGTTGGAGTCCATGGTCTGTTCCCAATACAATCCAGTAGTTGCTGGTTGCGCTTCTCAGGCCCGACCTGTCGTCGAATTGTTCGTGCTCTAACAATCTTGTAGGGTATGCCGATGATGGAGTCGTTTGTTGATGTGTCTTTGCTGAGCCAAATGCCTTCAAAGAACCTTGGCTCCAATTTGGGGAGTCCCTTTACTGTTGGGACCATGTACTGCACTGTTTCCCCAAAATCACAGAGTGGTGCTTTGTGTTCCCGCTGCCATCTGCGGAAGTAACTTGCGTTGCCGTCGCTGTGGACGGCGTTGCTTGTGAGCAGGTACGCTGCGCGGCGGACAAGCCATGGCATGATTGGATGTTGGCTTGTCAGGTGCGTGCGGTAGTTGTTCTGCAAGTGTGTTTTGAGCGTTCTCACTTGTCCCATAAGTGTTCTGTGAAAGCGTGCCACGCTGCCTTGTGATTGCGAGCTGTATGCTGATGAGCAGGACTGCCATGCTCACGCCTGTTCCACGTCTATTGCAGTAAGTATTGGTGTTGCTGTCTTTTCGGCGCTGGCTTTCATGTATGTAAAGTCCACTTGTATAACAGGAACCTTGCTGGTATGTTTTGCTGTTGTGTGACTGTCTGCTTTGCCTTTGCTGGCAACGCATGTCGGACACCATGTGCGGTATGGAAGGTGTGTGAGATTGTGTTCTGCTCGCTCTCGTGGTGTTGGTTGTTTGGGAGCCGTCACTCCTCTCGCTGGTTTTGCTGCCTGTGGGTCTTCGTTGTCTGTGTCTAAACGCTCCTTGTATTCTGCTTGTTCTTCGAAGTTTGTCGAGCCGGTCCATGGTGTGTCAAGTGCTTTATCTTGTCCATGTTGCCACTCGTCATTGATGCAGTATTCTCTGTTGCTGTGTGTTGGTTTCACAAAGGTCTGTCTCCACGATGTCAATCTCGATGTGTCTGGACCGTCTGGCATTTGCTGTGGTGTATGCATGTTGGTTCTGGGCTGAACATGGACGCGCTTCCAGTAACGTCCTTCTTTGATCCAATAGTCTGTTGTAATTGGATCGTTGGATGGGTGTGGAAGAGAGGTTGTTGTAGGAGGTGTCTTCTCAAGGCGCCGGTGTGTTGGCTTGAATGGCGTTGACGCCTTCATTGCTGGTGCTGGTTTCGGCATGTCTGGAATCGGTGGTCGTGGTTGTGTGGATGCTGTTGCTCCGGGCTTTGGCTTGAACCATGTCTCGCCAGTCCATGCCATGCCTTTGAGTACTCTGCGCTGCTGATGCTTGTTGAGGCTCTTGTATTCTTCTGTGAGGTCTTCATCGTTGTTGTCATCTCTGTGTAGTATTGTTCGTCTGAAGTTCTCCAAGTTGTCCAGGGGTACCGGACAGGTCGGACAGGTGTTGGCATCTGGTGTGAAAAGTGCTTTGCGTGCTCGTTTGTGTATTCTCAAATACCCGTCGTTGTTGTATGTCCAGAGATCTGTGTGGCCTCCGCGCATTGTTTCCGCGCCGGTGGGGGTGAGTGTCACCGGCGAGATAGTTGCTTTCGCGCCGTTGCTTGTCTAATGTATGCTCAGGACCATGTTGTCGGGTAGCGGCACGACCCGTGTTGAAGGAAGTAGAGTCCATCCTTCTGCTTCAGTGATGAGGCGAAGCCTTTGCTGTGCGTGATGGGTGGGTTGTCGTTGAAGTTGATGTGAAAGCCTTGTTCTGCCAGTCGTATTACCGACAGAATGGGCTGTTGAACGTCACACATGTAGAAAGGTATGGCGATCGGGTGCCCGTGGGTGTTGTGCATGTAGATCCATCTGTACCCATGAAGTTGGATGTTGTCATCCGTCACTGTTCTGAGTTGAGGACCTTCTCCGCGTTGAAGTCGATGTAGTGGGAAGCTGTTGCCAAACCAGAGTGGACACACATGTGTTGCTGCTCCACTGTCAACCATCAGGTTGACAAGGCCGTCGTGTTGTTCGTGCCGGTGTGTCTGCTGGTGTTGACTGTTGTCGTGTGCTTCTTGTTCGTTTACTGCCGCCACGACGAGCTCCACGCCAGAAACCACGTGAATGGTTGGTGTGCTGTCCATCTGCTGTGCCGTTGGTGCTGGTAGTGCCAGTTGTGAGGCTTGTGATGCTGTTGCTCCTGCTGACGCATCATAGTGCCACCAAGTCGGGTCATAGTGCTGCTGCTGTTGGTACCAGTAGTCTGTCGCATCTGCCTGTTGCTCGTGCGCTGTCTCATGGGTGTTGAGAATGTAGACTGGAACTCTGCAATCTCGAGCCATGTGTCCTTGTTGTCCACATCTGTAACAACCTTGTGTTGTCTTACCTTTGCCTTTTCCTTTGCCACCTTTTCCTTTTCCTTTGCGGCGCTGATTGTAGTTGCCTTTGCCAGAGAACGGGTTGCCATACCCGATAGGTGTTGTGTATTTTCCTTTGCCTATGCCGTAGCCACATGCCAGTGCTGTAGTTGTTGTACCCTTTGTTGCTGTAGCCCTTTCCTTGTTTTCCTTTACCTTTGCCTTTGTTGTATTTACCTTTGTATTTGCCTTTGCCCTTGTTGATGGCTCCGATGTCCATTGGCGCTTGTCCTCCGCCATATTTTGTTGCTACGCTAGAGGAGCCTGGTTGCAGCGCCAACTTTGTGAAGGCTGTTGTTGCTCTGTAGTATTCCGTGATTGTTGTTCTGATTTGTGCATAGGTTGTAATTGTGCCGGCCAGGAGTTGGAGATGTTGTTGTAGAGGTCCTGTGGTTTCGTTCAGGAGTACTGCTATCTTGACTGTGTCTGGTAGTGTTGAGCCATTGTCTCGTTCGAACCTTGCTAGTTCGAACTCCCATGTTGTGAAAGACTCCTCGAAGTTGTTGTTGTCGAATTTCGGCTTGAGAAGTTTGGTGAGGTAGCCGATGCTGCGTGTTCCAAATGGTATTGAGAACCGTTGACAGGGCTGTCGAAAGATCTCCGGCCCCATCTCGTGTTGGTGTTGTCTGCAAACTGTTGCTGCTGATCCGGTGGTGGTGCTGCTGCCGCCATGAGCTCTGTGTCAGTGAGTCGTGTTGTTGCTGTTTCCGATCGTGGGTAGATGGCGTCCATCAAACCCATGTATGCCGTGAATTTGTACTTCCACTCCTCGAATGTTGCATAGTTGCCATCGAATGTTGGTGGTCGAAGTTTGAACCGGTGAGCTGTTGCTAAGGCTGTGGTGTCTTGTTCTAGGTCAGGTCCTGTTGTTGATGCTGCGTCTTGCTGCATGTGTTGCTTTGCCTGTTGAGCTCCCCCAGTGTTCTGGGATCAAGGCTCTGCCTGTTGTGCTTGTTGTTTGTTGTTGGAGCTCCCCTGGATGTTTCCAGGATCACTGCTCCGCTACCATGATAAAATGCTAAGTGTTGTACACGCGCCTCTTTTGTACTGTTGGGACTTGAGCTCAAGGACCCTGTTGGTGTCAACTATCTCATTGGTAGTGTTGAGACTGTTGTTTGACACCTCTCTCTCTCTCTCTCTGTGTCTCCTCAATGTCCCACAAGGGTTCCCAGGCACCCCGCTGCACGGACCATCCATACTGCACGATCATCTTGTCGTCCATCGTGGCATAGAGGGTGTCCTGAGATCGATCGACGGATCGACCGATGGTTCCCATGTGCGTCGTGTCCATGCAGAAGGTGAGAGCTGAAAGTGAGAGCTGTTGAATTCGTGTGAAGCAGATCATCCAAAATCAACATGTCCAGAAAAACCAGATCAATTTTGATGTATATATATATATATTGCGGCCTCAAAATCAGGGTTTGGGATGCGTAATAATAGCCAAGATCCGTATTTAATAAGATTTAGCTCCAAAAAAAAGCAGCAGAATGAAAGCAAACGAAAGCAAATGTAATGAACTCCAAAGGTGACTATTATTGTGGCTACCCAAAAAAAACTTCAAAAAAAGAATTTGGAGACGTATCCCCCTTATTATTGCAAATTCAACATTAGCGTAGATGATGCTCTTTCGGAACTATTGGAAAGGAAGATATGCAGATGTTGGGTATATTCCATTACCGGTCACGGTGGATGATCTTCAGTAAAGGCCTTTCTCAAAAAGAGTGATCATCTCTTACCGACTGCTACTGGTAATGACCACCCACCGTATGTAGATGCAGAAGGCGGGGTCCACACAACATTACTCTTATGGAGCTAGCCTGGAGCTGCTGAAGACTAACATGCGCAGATGTCATGGACTCGCTGGGATTGTTTCCATCAAAACACTCAAACCTCCGATGTCCTCTTTCAGAAAAAGGTCGAGGAATTCCCTCAAAAGGAGGTTGAATTCGAGTCATGTTTGCCGCCCGAAAGGGAAAAAAACCTTCCTCTCTTCACTGTTTGGGCGCCCCAGTCTCCAGCACCCCATTGGTGCCCTGGGCACTGGTCGCGATCCGCCCGGCGCGGGTCTCGGTCTGCAGCAGCGGGCTGGAGCGCCCCGTGGAGCAATCCAGCACCAGCGGTGGGACGCCCTTCACCAGGACCACCGGCCAGCAGGAGTGGCGTCCACACGTGGCGGCCACGTCGGCGATCGTGCCGTTCACAGAGCAGGGGTATCTCTTCACTTCCGTGTTGTTCTCTCGAAGCTCGTAGACGTGGTATCTATCAGTGATGAAGACCTCCATGTTCAGCACGCGATGTGAGCGTGGGTGTGTCATGTCCTTTTTGTCTTGGTCCATGTTTGGTACAGGAAGAGTGGTACAGGACAAGAGGCTCCAGGATTTAAGATTTGGCATGCTTTCCTGCACGTAGGACCTTCAAATCAAGACTTCACAGGTTCCTTGCCTCTGCACTCTTTTGAATCAGCCTTTTGAATCAGCTCCAATGGGTGGAACATCAGCTCGTCTGCCGCTTGACGGTGGGTCATCTTTGGAGGTCTTTGAAGGCGACGAACAATTGAAGATCTTGTATTGTCCATCGTACCCCGCAAAAAAGGAAAGTAAAACATGAGCCAACAAAATCAAGCCTAAGAGCAAGGGTCCTATTCTATATATCATATATAAATATAAAGATATTTAGAGATCCATTTGGTTCGTGTGGCCCAGTGTGTCCCACCATGTCCCACCAAGGTTTGGGGTGTCTTCCAGGGTGGGACGTGGTCCATGAAACATTGGCAAATCTTCTCACTCCCTATATCCATGGGACATCTAGTAGCAAGAAGCTACTAGTAACAAGGGCATTACTACTACCAGTACTAGCAAGAAAGTACTATGCGTCTTCCCCGCCAGGTGTAGACCCTCGACGACCGTCTGCCTCGCGCCTGATTCCGTGGACAGACCAGCGCGTGAGGCCTCCAGAAGGGGCTGGGTGTGGCCATGGTCATCTCGCTGACCTGCCACGAAACGAATCGAACAAAAAAAAACAGACGAACACAGTTCGAAGCTGGAAGTAGAATGAGAGTGGATAGAAACACAAGCTGAAAGTGGAATGAGACACCTCTGAAACAAAAAAGACGTCCAACCTGCAACTTCGTCTCTTTGGGTCTTATTGGCATGTATACCCCGAACCAGGGCCAATTCATGTTCACTATAGCAATCATTCAATTCCCCCTCCATCCTAACCTCTTCTGCCTCCCCACCAGAATCGCCTCAACAAACCACCCAATGGCTCTATGGAGTGCCCCTCCCACCCGCCTCCAGCAGTGGAGGCGTGTCGCCCCAGGTGGGCACGGCTGCCTTGCGGTTCTTGAAGTCCATGCCGAACCAGGCGCCATGCACTGCCCAGAGGAGCGCTGAAGCCCAAAAGCAGGCCACCACCTACGACCAGCAGCAGAAATCCCAGGATTTTAAGACCCTTCTTTTGAATGTCAAATAGATGTTCTCAGCTCAGGTCCCGGTTTTTAGGAACATCCCTGGTCCATCCCAGCCAGACGAACGACCGTACCAGGATCATGGCACCGTGCTGTGGTACTGTATGAATGCACATGAATACATCACCTGCACTCGTGCCCCATCCACCGCACACTGTCCGCGATCGCATCGGAGCAGGTCGCCGGGTCTGGACGAGCGCCGACGACGAAGCACGCTCGGTGACGTTCCCCTTTCAGGGAAGAACCCTTTACGGGTATGCGCAGCTGAGCGCTGCAGGGAAGGAGGGGGGATAAGTGGGCGTTGGTCGGTCACGCAGTAAAGGAAGGAACGTCCTGCATCACTTCGAACCACCTTTGCACACTGCATCAAAGATATCAGAAGTATGTCGATTTCGCGGCCAAATTGCCCTGTGGTCCAGGATTCCTTCGGGGAAATCCGTGGAAAAGGGGCTTCTGGACGTCTCATTGGTGAAGAATCCAGAAGACCCCCAAGAGCCCCACTGACCCAACAAACGACGCTCGCTTAGCTCATCACCCAGTACATGCCGCGTACTGCGCTGTGTTCCGGCCTTGGTGCCCCAGCGCAGCATGTTGCCCGGCAAGAAGTCCTTGTGGACCCTCCTTTGTGCCACGGGCGACTCCTCGGCCTCGGGCGCAGCATGTGGCCTTGCGGGCGCAGCATGTTGCGCGCACGCCGAGCCAGGCGAAGCCTCGGTGGGCTGAGTGGGCAGCGAGCCCCACTCCAACTCTCCTGCGGAGTCCCAGGGTGAAGCCTCCAGCACACAGGCGACCTCCTCCGACTCCTCCCCCTCCGCGGATGCGGTTCCACGCGCGGCTGGCTGGGCTGAACGGGGCGCCTCCGGATCCGACTCCGAAGAGACATCGCTGGTGAACTGGGAGACGAAGTAGACATTCACCAGGAAATGGGTGCCATAACACAAGGGGATGAAGAAGCGATCCATGATGACCCAACTGGTGGCCGCTGCAATGACACACCACAAAGGGCCTGAGGCCACTAAACAAGCCAAGACCAGAGGATGCTCCTGCATAATCCAGCGAAGCCTTGGGCCAGCGTTGGAGGGCGTAAAGATCGCCTCGGAGAGCTGGGGGGCTGGGCTGAGCGGGGGTGGCCAAGGCATGCCAAGGCATGCCAAGGCAACAACTGACTGGTGCGACTCGTAAGGAATAAGGGAATGGATCCTGAGGTATTTAGAGGGGTGGTTCATTCCCGCATTCCCTTACTAAGCACGAGTCTGACAAAGGCATTCAGAAAGGCCAAACTAAAACCAAATACATCGCAGTCAGGTTCAGCAGTCGGGGGCGGCTGCTTGGGGGAGGTTCAGCTTTCAGATATGTGTTTTGGAAAACTCAACAACTCAACACTTGATTTCAACACTCGAGTCTCCAGCAAGAAGTGAACGACCATAATATTGATCACCGTGAAGAGGATCTGAATGGCCCAAAAGGCCCAAGCATCTGCATAGCCACCGTAGAGAGTTCCGACGGCCAGATAGCCACAGGCTTCGAGGAGGTTGGTCGTGCCACGGGCCACACATTTGAACATGCAACTGGAGAACTTCCTCCAAGGCTGATGAAGGTCTCTCCACAGTTTCAAATGCCCGATGTGGTACTCATGTTTAAATTCACTCTTGGCCTCAACATCATCCTCGACAGGCTCCACTGCAAATGACTTCGTTTGCCAGCGTCCCCCCCGGCTTCTGGCTTTGCATGGCAAGCTGTCGAAGGAGCGTTCCGTGTTGGACCATGTCTGACTAATTTGACTCAGGCGACTGTAGGTTGGTGAGGCAACTCTTCGCTCGGTCTTCTCTTCCTGAGGGATCCGCCTCCAACTTCGAAACATGCGAGATGCCAGGGGCGGCATCATCATGCTACTCAGGGAGTGGCTTTCAAAGAAGGCTGTGTTCTCGCGGGCCTTCCGCTCCTTCATCCGATTGAAATGATGGTTCCACTTGGGTTGGATATTCAGAACGAGAAGATCCGTGGCCGTCTGATAGGCATTAGCGCTGGCAAAAATGCCGAAGAGAATGGAAAAGGAGAGGTGAAAGACTGCGCTTCCCAGACACAGCATGTAGGCGTTGAGCACAAAGGCAGGGCAATCGGTTGGAATTTGCCCCTCGAACAACATTTCTCCTGCGAGTGACAAAATCAATGTCGCCACCAAGAGAGAGTTGTTGATCTGGTTGATGTCAGAATTCACTAAATCTCTTACCTCTTCCCTCTTCATGGTCTGCATTTGAATGGCCAGATTGTCCTCTTGATACACATGAGCTTGCTCCACCTGTATGTCGGTCATCCAAGCATCTCGGTTGTAGGAATAGACGCCCGAGGCCCAGTTGTAGACCCCAGCAAGGGCTGCCCCGGCCACCAGGCCGAAGGACACCATGGCCGCTCGGGGTTGGCGGGTGGTCGAAGAAGAGATGTCTCGTTCTGCATCCTCGTTGACTACAGTACATGGTGTTTTAGTTATGTCTATATATACACTCCCGAAAACTAACATAGACCCTGACAATGGCCCCCTGGAAGAGTGTTTTCTTCTACCAACCAGTGGTTTTCAAGGTCCATGTTAGTCTTCCAGGGTGTAGGATATAGGATACTAAACCTACATGGTTTCATTATAGATGATTGTGTGATTCTGTGTGGCACCCTCATGCCGACTCATGCCTTCAGCCCTTGATGCCCAATGAGCCTTCGATGTGACAAATTTGCCTTGCAATGAAGCACTAGTGACCTAGTGAGAAAAACAGCTCAGAAACATGTGCGTTTCATGATGTTCTTTTCCCTCCATCCTCCCGGGGGCTCCGGATCAGCTAGGCGCCCCCCACGTGCGAAAGTTCGACAGCTCCGGATTCACGATGGGCGAAATACACCTCGACCGATTCACACGCTCGGGGACGGCGGAGTGGAGCGCTCCGTGTCTTGCCTGACTTGCCTGACTCTGCACTGAGTCAGGACGTGTGTGAGAGAGAACAAAGCTTGGACTTGTGACTGCTGGGTGACTCGAAATGGCAGGTCGGTCCAGATCTCATGTCAGCACTACTTGGCTACTTGGCCAACTTGCTAGTGGCGCTTTGTTCGGTCATGTTCACCAGAAAGCTCTCTGAATGTCCACCAACACACCTGTTTGCTGACTGCCCACCTGTTTGGGTCTCAAAACGAGCCGCGCACGCACGTACTGTTTCGTCTCGCACTTCCAAGGTCCCTTGAAGTGATGAAGAGGTGGTGGCTTGGAACAAAAGTCCCAGTGCCAAAGAAGCCAAGCTCCGGAAGTGAGGGACGTAGTTGACACAACTATGTCATATCAGTCACACCAACATGCAAGCCAAAGGACCAACAAGTTCATGTTTCGCTTCCATTCAAGGGGAGTAGTCCAAAGGACCATCCCTACCCATATTGATCTATATTATATGTATATCATTGTATATCTATATATAATACATAATACAATCTGATAAATATATATATATATGTTCATCCCTCAGACACCTTCGCTACCCTTCGCTGCTTGTGCATTGCTCCAGACTCCCGCCGCCAGGCTTCCCCGCAAGACCAGCGCATTGCTCAAGATCCCCACGAAGATCACGCTGCGGGACATGCGATGCCTGGCCCCCGTCCATGGCAGTCGCATCAGAGCGAGTCTGACGCCCACAGTCATGCTCACAACATGCCCTTGACACACATGGGCCACCTCACGATACTTCCATATCATTCAAGTAACCCTGCACCAGCAACATTATCTACATATATATATATATCTACATGCCCCTTGATTTTAGTGGCCATGCCATCCACTGCGCTAGGGATTACAGGGCTTTCTGAACAATCTGCCGCCCAAAAAGTCACGTTTGGGTGGCTTGGTTTTGCACACTTATATAATGAACACGATATCTCAAAACAGGTTTGATTTGGTAGAGCAGCTCTGAGGTTTGTTCTTTAATTGTTCTCAGGCATCGTCAAACAGGGAGGGGCGGCCTCTTTACAGAATCAACATGTATTTATGCAAAGTGACAGTTGCAAAATCATGCCCCAGTCATCAAACTCTATACAAAATAATAATTGCTGCACTAACATTAAACAAAAATGCTAATAATGCAGGCAGCCTAATTAGCACCACTAGCATCATGTTAAGAATGACTCGGCAAAGAAGAAAGTCGCAACAAGCTAGAAACTCACCAAACAAACAAAAGAACAGACAAGAAACCAATATAGCCAGGGAGTAAGCGATTGTATCCACAAAATAAAGGACCCAACCTTAACATCCACAACAAAAGAGTTTGCCCCACCTTCAGCACACAAGATTGGCACCACACAGCTGCATTTCCACTATGAAGGCCCCGCCCACTACCATTCCACTGGTGTTGTGGTACCCTGGTGCGCTGGGGCATTCTTACGGGCATCGGTCGGTATACAGTAAAATATCTGTCTCTTGTAGTAGTCACAATACCATTGAGGTCTTGAAACCAAAGTGAACGTGACTGAAAGCAGGCGGTGCTTTGGTGTTTGCAATGGAGAGCGGGTATTGTCGGAGGAGGCTGTGCATGCAATCGTAGCTATCAAGGAATTGCTTCCAGACACCATCAGTTGGCCGCAACCACGCAGTGCTCGCCCGCGCGTTGACCAACATAGTGCTGGTCCTATTTCCACCAATCTAGCTGTTCCTCTGCCGTGTTTTGGGCCCCCCTCAACAGGGGAAGCACTGCAGACTTCCGTCACCCCAAAAACAGGCGCGACCCACGACCTCAGTCTGAGCTTCCTGGCTCTATGAAGACCTTGAGCCGTTGCCGCACCTTGGCGAAGCACTTGCCTGGCCAGGTGACAGAAAAGGCGCCGATGGACAGAAAGGCGACAACATCTTCTGTGGAAGAGCCCTTCCTGGAGTGCCCTTGGAGATTTGGAATTTCCTTTGGACAGCCATTGAAGCCCTGGATGCTACAGATGCGGTCCCCCACCAGAAGTCCTTCCTTGTGTCAGGAGAAGGTTATACAGTTATACAGTTATACATCTGACCATGGTCACGATTCGACCGGACTCTGAAAGAGAGGAGAACCCAAGTCACCAGGAGTTCTAAAGGACCAAAGGGAGGTCTTCAGATCCTACGTGAGTAGATCATAGGCACCCTACCCTCGAAAAGGCAGCCCTTTGGAACTCCTGGCTCGGCCATTTGAACTGCACCAGGGGACCTCGGGGCCAGAAAAGTGCTCAGTTCTCTCACAATGATTGCTCGCAACATCAGGACCTGTTCGCAACCAATCACACCCACACAAGAATTGGTCCCACCTCCCTCAAAAACCTCATGATCTTGAAACAACTCTCCGACAGCATCACCTCGCCTTTTCACGCAACAGCATCCCTCCGACACCCCTCGAAAAAAACTCGTGAAAAAAAGCCCAGACTGTCAGTTCCAAGACCCACCGGCGCCTTTCACCCCCATGCGCCGTGGCGGGATCAGCAGCTCCTGGAGCATCGGCGGAGGTCTCCGCTGAGGTCTCCGCAGCGCAGGGGTCCCAGTCGAAAAACCTTGGGAGTCCCAGTGATGTGTCCTTTGTTTGTCTTTTTTTCATTGGTCTCATTCGCAATGAATCGTCCCACAGACCCGACGCGACCCGTACGATGGCGTAGTGAAACATGAATATATGTGACCGTACGATGGAGTATAAACCAATTTAAGATCCTTGATCCAGAACTTTGGCCGTTCAATGTCGTTAAGATAGTCTACATCTGATTCTGCTATGTTTCTTTTCCCAAGGGTTGTGACACAGGTTCTAGGCGTTCCAGCTAGTGGGTGTTGATGGGAGGAGGAGGATTTCTTCCGACACGTCACCTGCAGGAGAGCTATATCACCAGTCTTGACCACCATTGCGTGTACATGGACTACATATCCAAAAGGAGATAGGAATAAAGGCTGCTCTGCTCTGCTCTGTGCCTCTCTGTCATCAGACCGTCAACCCTCCCGAAAAGGCGCCCCGTCCACCCCGCTCCACGTGTCACTTCACGCGTGTCGTTCGAAACTCGCGCGGGATCCGCTAGCCGCTAGCGCACCGGATTCATCAGGATCTCGCGCTGCAGCTTCTTCAAGAGCCGCTCCTAGCAAGAGGTGTCCCTACCTGGACTGCCAGCAGTAGTTGGAAAGGGACATCATGGACTGGTCTCCGATCGTAGACAGTGCGTAAACACAGCAATGGAATGGTGGAACACCATGACAATGTGACAAGGATCTTCCGATCGTAGATGTCTACGCTTTCCTGTTGAACTGTATTGACCCGGAGCTATTGGGAGAGATCCTAATTATCCTAATTTCAATACACCACAATGGACCTCAAAACTCCAAACAATGGACCTGCCTGGGTCGCACCAACCCTTCACCCGCAGCTCGGTCGATCCTCCGATGTGTCGGCGCTTTGCCCCTTGAACTCCGCCTTCGTGCTGGTGTACCTGCAGGACGTGAAGGGATGGTTAGACACCACAGGCCGAGCTGGGTGAGACACCAATTCCAAATGCTGAGGCGACATGTGGTGACATGTGGTGACTCTCCTCCGAGGTGGAGTGCTTTTTGCGAGTTTTCGCCGTGACGGTTTGTAGATGTGATGATGTTTGTTAATGTACCGCATGATGCAAGCATGCCGATACCTTCTCATTCATCTGGTTCACTCAGGACACTTCAGGTGGTGCACAAGTTTATCAAGGGTTCTAGGCAGCTATGAAGCTGCCAAAGGATAGGATATATGATGATATATGATATAGACTCATATAGTCGTAGTGTGTCATTGTAGACCCATCAAAAGGGTTGATTGGAAAGCTTGGGATATGACAGAAGCCTTGCGCCTAACGTAATCGTGCTTGGGCCGAACAAGAACCCAAGCAGCAGCTTGCCTCGGTTTACCCTCCCTTTCCCATCCACACTACACACTCCCTTTCCCTGGCAGTTCAGTTAGGTGGCTCCCACCCCCCAAATGCGCACGAGTCCACCAAAATGCCCGTCAACAGGTTCCTGTTTGCAACCAACGCCGGTTGCCGCTGCACCCGGCCGCGCGAAGCCGTTCGCTTCAACGCTTCGAGGGTGTCACTCGTCGATTCGTTGAAAAAGAGCCTCACTGGTGATGTCAACGCAGGTTTCAAGAACCCCCCTTGTTACTCCCCAGGGTTCCAAATACCTTCTGAGAAAGTGTTTGGGGCGGGTGCCAGGAGGGACCAAATACCTTCTGAGGATGTACCTGGAGCCCTAGGGACTGTAATTAGTTTGCTCCGGCTCCCGGGTGATCCATCCAGTGTTCACGCGCTTTGGTCAAGTTGTGCTCAGCGAAGTTGCATCAACTCATGCACCTGCCCCCTGAAAGCGGGCATTTTTCTTGCATCAAGCTCCGGGTGAGCTCAGCCCAAAAACATACT